CGTTCCTCTTTTTCTCCGTCCAGTCTGAATGTATTTGGACGTGTTCTTGGGACTTAGCAAATGATAGGTGAACTCATTCGTTGGTGACTGTGGCAGTTTAGAATTTGAACTATTCACGTACAAATAGAGCATAGCGATGGTATATATAATGCGAATTCTCGAGCCCCATCTTTGCCAATTTCTGTAACAAGGGGGTAAGACTGAATATGTTTTACGTACGTTGGCAAATGATAATCGAATGTTTTTAAAAAGTAAAGTATGGTTTGCTTCTAAGATTTCAGTAGAAGGCATGTTCCGAGAGTTTACAGTTATGATGTGGCTTGCGAATTAGCTGTTGAAATTCTCAGCTAAAAAATTTGCCAGAATTTCTTTTACTAGAATTTCAAGTTTGGACGCGGTCTCTGGAATGGCCAGTTTGGGGGCGGTCTTTGGAATTAGCAGTTGTCATATGTTTTGCCCCCTGAAGTGTTTACCAGCGCAACGGTTCTCCTGATGAAAGCTCTTAGCTCCATGAGGCACGTGTCCAGTGCTGTTCATCATAACTACATGCTAAACGGAGTTAGACCGCTCTTGTTGATAAATATGGTTATATTAGACATCTACTGTTGATGAATATGTACATTTTAAAATGTAACTCATGCCGACCATCAACTGCTCATGAAGCGAGCGGAGAACAGCTATGGCACATGTTGTGCTCGAAAAAGGCAGTGCTAGTTTGTTATCTAAACGATGCAGCAGATCAGAGACAGAGATTAACTTCCTTGTTGGCAGGCTTCGGGTCGTAAACACTTCTTTCGGAGTGGCTGTACAGAAGCTAAAAACACGCAGATTCATTCCTTCCGAAATTTTTTGCAGGTGTAAATGCCAGCCCACTGCAGTTCTACCGGCACGGAATTTCGCATCCATGGAAAGTTTTCTGCTCGCCAAAGCATATCGATCATGGTGTTCTGATTGTTGGCTATGGAGAAGAAGCGGATAAGCCGTACTGGATTATCAAGAATAGCTGGGGCACTAGATGGGGTGAAAATGGTTATTACCGGTTATACCGAGGCAAAAATGTCTGTGGTGTCAGTGAAATGGCTACTTCTGCCATTATTCTCTGAAAAGTTTTTTAAAAGCATTCTTGGAAATTTTGTTGCCTTCATTTATTTCATGTGTGTTTAAAAACCTACCATTCTGTTTACTCTGTCATGAGACTTTTGTACATTTGACAGCTGTCATCGATTAAATCTGCTCGATCTATCAGTTTCGAGATCAGCCATATGATTCCATGTCTCGCTGAAAGACGAGACGTCTAATGAGGTGACATTGAACGATGAACAACAACGTACAACGATGAGAATGCTGAGAACAGAGCTCCTTATACTGCATGCTAGCGCGCACAAAGTACTGCACAGGGGCACAGCATGACTGACACAATGACCGGCTACGGCGTAATCGACATGGTAGACTGATGGACGTGGCACATTGTTCTACATGATGGCGGGAGTGCAAATATCTTTTTTTTTTCCAAGGCCATTAAGGAATCGTTTTATTTTTCGCCGATAATTTTAATTTAGAGCTGTTGCTTTACCGAATTTTTAAAACGTTCAAAAAAGTGTGCCTCCTAGCACTGTGCACTCATCACGACTTTAGGGGATTACCAGTTTAGCTGCACTTGCTGCTTTGTTGCGTAATGTCCTATATTCCTTCTGGTTAAAAAAAGAAAATACGGTACTAAAAATTTTTTTATTGCTTCAAAATCAGCTTCAAAAATATAACTGGAGCCATCTGGTCACCTTGCTTATTGGCTTCAGGCATAACACAGATATTAATTATTATATATATGAAAAACATAAAATTATATCAAAGACTCAAGCATAGTCTACGTACCCAGACCGACAATGTTGGATATTTCTGAATGGATTATTCCAGCACAGCCTTTTTTATGCGTTTTTTGCAGCAATGCAACGAAAAACGCATATTTGACGAGACGTTGTCTGTGTGTCCGT